AATAACATGGTTTTAACATAACCCATTTTTATTTCTCTTGAATATCATTTGTCTTAATACACTACTTTAGCTGTCTTTATGCTGTATCCTCCAGTAAAGTATTGCACATGGTGTTGGATAATAAAGTATGGTGAATATTCTGTATTAGGGATAGTGTTTGGTAAATTCACCATTTAATTTAGTAAACAATACACATAATTCCCATGAGTGTTTTAATTAAGACATGAACATTTAGTCATATTAAAGACATTCAGTTACATAAAGGCTGAAAGATTCATTAGAAGAGACTGCATGGACTATATTGCTCCAGGCACTACATGCACAACTGAGGGTGATGCACCAGGGAAAGATCAACATGAATCCTGTACTGTATTATAAGCAAGATGAGCATGCACATTACTGATGTTTAGCCCCTGAAGATGACAAAAATGAAAAAATTTTGACAAAGAGATACAAATTAGGTCTTTTATATTATGATTCTTTGCACTGCATGAATTGTGTGGCTTTTGCACCATAAACCACACACTGTCTGCACCTTGTCTTACTGAATGACACATTGACTTTGTGTGATAGTACAATGAAGTGTCACAGTATGTATTGGGTGTTTAAATTGGTGTCTTTGTTTACTGTCAACATTTCAAAAGCCACTGATCTCGATATTTTTGGGGTTTATTCTTATTCTAAGATAACTATGACTTGCAACTTACATATTGACAGTTTGTTGTGAATGATGAGAATAGATCTGTGCCTTATCTACAAATACCACAGTAAAACTACGGTTACTGAGGTAAACCCATAGTAAGGGATGAGGTTATTGTGCTTTATCTACAAATACCACAGTAAAACTACGGTTACGAGGTAAACCCATAGTACGTATTGAAGTTATTGTGCTTTATCTACAAATACCACAGTAAATCTACGGTTACTGAGGTAAACCCATAGTAAGGGTTGAGGTTATTGTGCTTTATCTACAAATACCACAGTAATTGAAGTTATTGTGCTTTATCTACAAATACCACAGTAAAACAATGGTTACTGAGGTAAACCCATAGTAAGTATTGAAGTTATTGTGCTTTATCTACAAATACCACAGTAAAACAACGGTTACTGAGGTAAACCCATTGTAAGTATTGAGGTTATTGTGCTTTAACTACAAATACCACAGTAAAACTACGGTTACGAGGTAAACCCATAGTAAGTATTGAAGTTATTGTGCTTTATCTACAAATACCACAGTAAAACTACGGTTACTGTGGTAAACACATAGTAAGGGTTGAGGTTATTGTGCTTTTTCTACAAATACCACACTTTATCTACAAATACCACAAATAACTACAGTTACGTTGGGAGAAGCATGGTATAAGTTATTGTGCTTTATCTACAAATAGCACAGTAAAACTACGGTTACTGTGGTAAACACATAGTAAGGGTTGAGGTTATTGTGCTTTTTCTACAAATACCACAAATAACTACAGTTACGTTGGGAGAAGCATGGTATATTTTGTGGTTACTGTGCATTGACTACACATGACATGGTCGAGCGACAGTTAAGTTATTATGGTAACTGCAATTATGGTAACTGCAGTTTCTGCAATTGTGATTCCTGTGTAAATGCATTTTAAATGCTGCCTCTGTGCTGCATTAAATTACTGTATATAGTAAATTTGCTAATGAGAATCCTTGGAAAATAAGCTATGCACACAGGGGTCAAAGTTTTAAGTATCATACTTTTATTCTTAAACAATCCTAATTTCATTGTGTTTTATAATATCAATGCACATTTTATGTATCTCATTGTTCATAATGCATATATGATAGTGTTTCATTAAGGTGAAAACATCTGCAAACATGAAAAATAAAGAGTTTTGTTTGTAATGCGAGTGTTTCCTTTGCTCTGTACAGTGTTTTCTTTTCTGGAAACCAAGTTTATCTGGACAATCTTTGCATTGCGTGCATATTTTTACACTCTTTGTCCCATACACGAGTTATTCATTTGATCATTCCTCAGTTAACTACAAACACACTTTCTAAGTACTTATGCTTTTCAAGTCTCTTTGTTTTGTTGCACCTCATTGCTGCATACTTGGGCACAGCTCTCATGCCATTTTATTGGAAGACATGAATGCCAGACTCCTCCTAGTCCACAATCCTGTCCAGGCGACTTCCTGGAAACTCCGTACAGGGGCAACACAACTGGCCTTCTTTGTGCGTTGGACTGGACAGGGTTGGTGTCAGCATCACACTTTTAGGACTAAGGAATCCTGAGTTGTTTGTTAGATTATTTAAGTTTGCTTGAGTGAAAGGGAATTTGTGGATAATTCACAGGAAATCATCTACGTATTATCCAAAGCTTAGCTGTCCATTGTAACATAGAGTGTCACACTCCAGCTGAAACCAAGTTGCAGTTTGGAGGTGTTAAGCATACACGCATACAGTGTACTTTTGCTGGACATGTGCATCAAGATGGGCAAGATTTTTGAATAAGTGTTAAAGTGGATATTAACTCATACCAAAATGAATAAGCAGCGAAAGGCTCTAAGAGCCAAAAAGCTTCTGCAATAACTGAGCATACATTCTATATTAACCCTCCTGATATTCCAATAATTGGGATTCATAAAGTGCATTTACCTTTACCTCTCAGGTAATAAAAAAATAAAAAATAAATAAAAAGCCAAAACACTTGGTCAAATCTGCATAATATTCACAAATAGAAACAATTTTAATGATACTGAACAAAGAGAGAAACATTCCCAATTTTCTTGATAATAGTAAAGCATAAATAAAGCTAATTTATCACAACATGAACCCCAAATAATATTCCTATTGTTGTGAATCAAATGACTGTCCATTGAACTTTTTTGCATAAAATGTGAGTTCAGCTCCTGATTGGAACGGTAACATTTATTTCTCTTTCCCCCCTCTGTGTTCTTCTAAAAGTTTTCTCAGGCAAGAGTTCAGTTTGTCAACTTATTGTAGCGTGTTGTACTATTCCCGTGGTTTGAGGCGCAAGGGCAAGGGCAAGGGCAAGGGGCTACTCTCTTGTAGTAGCCTCCTGCGTTTGGGCCCTGCTATGTGGAGTCCTGGTTGACCACTTTGCCTCCATTCATTGTTGGGGTTCCTGAGCTTTTCCTGGAGCGTTGCTTCTCTTCAATCTCATGCAGTGAAGGCTCTTTGTACATGCAAACTGCAATACACAAACATATCAATACATTAATACTCATTAATTTCGAATGCATTCATTAAGAGTTATGAGATTTATGGCTGACATCTTATACTTGAGCTCTGCATTTTGGATTTTTATTTAAAAAAAGAAAAATGCACAAATGTTAAATGTTAAAATCAACATGACATTAAAATTGAACATATTTTCTTTATATACACTCTTGGTATTGTTGTGTGCGATTTATCAGTGTATGTTATTCCAAAGGAAAAAATGGTTTGACTTCTTGCATAACTTGCAGCGATTTTTTTATTTTCGTGTCACAAATAAGCCCTCTTATTTTTCAACCATCATTGCAAACCACTAAGGCAAAGCATCACTTTTATCATCTCACATGCTTATTATTATTATTATTATTATTATAACATAATGGAGACAAGGGAGTGGGCTCTTTTGAATAAGACTGGTAAGTACTCTTTAAATATCACCATGGCAACTGTTTAGCCAAGCCCTTACAACCATTTAGAGTTCCCTAGCAATCGTGTAGTAAATTGAGCCAGCCATATCTTAGAATCACAGGGTTGGCCTCTTTTGATTCAGACTGCCAAACAGTCTTTATATATCACTATATAAACTGTGTAAATCAGCCTAGCAATGATTTAGTGCACCCTAGCAACAACATGAAGCCATATCCCAGCACCAGAACATTGCACAGACATGAGAGTTGGCTCTGTTCACGCAATCACGCAGAAGACTAGTTTTAGACTTAGACTGGCTAGTAGTCTTTAATCACCACCATGGCAACAATCTAGCCATACTCCAGCAACCATTATCACCGTCCTAGCAACCATATAATAAATTGAACCATCCATATCTCTGAACCAGAATAGCATACATACCTGGGGATGGGCTCTTTTGACTTAGACTGCCTAGTTGTCTATAATTATCACCATGGTAACTCTCTAGCCATACCGTAGCAACCAGTGAGAGGTTGTATCTTTTGACTCAGACATCAATAAGCTTTAGGTAACATGCCCTAGCAACCATTTAGACCATCATAGCAACCGCATATCTCAGCACCAGAACATTGGGGTTGGCCTCTATTGACTTGGGGCAGTGTACTCATAGCATATAAACTCTATAGCAACTCCATAGTAACCATCTGTGACAACTAGCAACTGCCTAGCAACCACCCAAAACACCCTTGAGACCACCTAGCAACCACCTTAGTAACTGAAATGCCCTAGTAACCACATAGAACATAATAGCATCTGCCTAGCAACAACCTAGCAAATCACCCAGAACACCCTATAAACCACCCATAAAACCCTAGCAATGACTAGCAACTGCCTAGCAACCACCCAGAATACCATAGCAACACCGTAGCAACTCCATAACAACACTCTAGCAACCACTCAGAATACACTAGCAACTGCCTGGCAACACCTTAGCAACCACCCTTAACACCCCAGCAACTGCATAGCAACCACATAACAATACTCTAGCAACCCCATAGACTTAACATTGTCACAAATTTTGTGAGAACATATCTCTGGATCAGAAAGTCAGTTGGGACACTTGGGGGTGGGCTTATTTGACTCCGCAAAGCAAGCAGCCAATAAGTAATGACATACCAACCTCCTAGACATACCCTAGCTACCAGTTACTGGACCCTAGCAACCACCCATAAACTTCCACTAAAAAAGGATGAGAGAGGGATCTCTATGGATCAGAACATCATAGAGACAAGAAGATGGGTTTATTTTTATTGGTGGCATCACTATTACTTATCACTATTATCTTACATGCTTCTTCTTTTTCCATTTCCATTTCCATTTTGTCACTTACATTTAGTCATTTAGCATATGCTTTTATCCAAACGACTTACAAATGAGGACAATAGAAGCAATCAAACCAGCAAAAGAGCAATAATATGTACTGTAAGTGCTGTGACAAGTCCCGGTTAGTCTAACGCAGTACACATGACAAGATTTTTTTTCTTAATAATAAATAAAAAGAAAACAAGTAGATAGAACAGAAAAAGACTAGAGAATGCTAGTGTTGAAGGGGTCAATTTCTTTTTATAATAAATAAAAAGAAAACAATTAGATAGAATAGAAAAAAGAATAAAGAACTGTTGTTAGAGGGTCATTTTTTTATAATAAAATATATATATATATTTTAATAAATTAGAAGAAAACAAGTAGATAGTATAGAAATAGAAGTTAGAGAGAAGATAGAGAGTGCTAGTGTTAGATGGTCAAGTGTAGATGGAAGAGATGTGTCTTTAGCTGTTTCTTGACGATGGCCAAAGACTCAGCTGATTGGATTGAGTTGGGCAGGTCATTCCACCAGCAGTGAACATTTCAGGTAAAAGTCAGTGAAAGTGATTTTGTGCCTCTTTGGGATGGCACTATAATGTACCATTTACTAGCAGAACATAAGCTTCTGGAGGGCACATACATCTGAAGTAGTGAATTTATGTAAAGGGGTGCAGAGCCAGTGGTTGTTTTGTAGGCAAACATTAATGCCTTGAATTTTATGTGAGCAGCTATTGGTAGCCAGTTCAAATTGAGGTGTGACATGGAGTCTTTTGGGCTTGTTAAATACTAATTTTGCAGCCACATTCTGGATTAGTTGCAGAGGTTTGATAGAACTGGCTGGAAGACCTGCCAAGAGAACATTGCAATAGTCCAGCCTGGACAGAACAAGAGCTTAAACAAGGAGTTGTGTAGCATGTTCTGAAAGAAAGGGTCTGATCTTCCTAGCAATACCAAATTGTGATGAATTGTGATGGGTTAGCGTAAAGCACAAGCAGTTGTGTCTTGGCAAGGTTGAGTTGCAGGTGAAAGAAATGTCTTGCTGGATGAAGGAAGACAAATTTTGGTGCATAACTGATAACAGTTTGTCGTAGACCCACGAGTGAGGTGTCATCTCATTTGGCTTACTGGGGAAAGGTGTGCTATAACTTTTATAAGTGATTGGGTGTACGATGTTCACACAGTGGGCAAAAAATCACATAGATTTAATATTGGACAGAACTTTGTGACATCATATCTCCACATCAAAATTGCAGTTGGCTCTAAAATAATCACGCAAAAGATCACTTAAAAAAATAAAAGTAAATGTCCAGTAGAGAGTTTTGCCTTTTCTTCAGAAAATATTCATATCGAAGTCATGCATCAATATTATTTCTAATGTATTATTAGAAACCATATGCTGTAATGTAAATATTTTTTTTCTTCAGAAAATGTACATATCTAGTTATTAGTGGTGTATGCCACTAGGTGGCAGCCACATAGCCACACCTTAGCAACCATTTAAACGACTCTAACAACCAAATAGCAACATGAAGAAGCCATAGAGACATCATAGAGACATCTGGGTGGGTTCAGTGGATTCAGCCAGGCAACCAGTCTGTAAGTATCATGGTAAGTGTGTAGCCATTCCCAAGCAGCTATTTATAGCACGCTAGCAACCATACTGCAACATGGACAAGCCATATTACAGCCCCAGAACATCACAGAGACATAGGAATGTGAATATCACTATAGTAACTGTGTAGCCATACCCTAGCAACTATAGAGCATCCTAGAAACCATATAACAACCATATCTCAACTCCACAATTTCATACAGACATGGTAGTTGGCTCTCCTGTAATCACACAGAACACCATAGCAACTGCCCAGAGCTGAGTTTTGCCACCGCAAGTACCACTCACAATTTCTTCATAAAATGTAAATATCTAATTATTATTGTTCTTCTGAGACTTAAATTTCTCACACACTGTTCTGATTTGTGTCCTGATCTTTTCTAACTGATTTGACTTACAGTTTTCTTAAAACAGACAATAAAAACTCCCCAAATCCCATAAACTTACATAGATGAGATGTTCAAATGAGCCAAGACTATTCAACTCAAACAGAAACACTAGTCCTTTGATCTGCTTTAAACCCCATCTCTCTGTCTCTCTCTCTCTTTTTCTATCAGGTCTTAAAACCTTAAAAAAATCTACCTTTTAAAGGGGTCATATGATGCTGCTAAAAAGAACATTATTTTGTGTATTTGGTGTAATGAAATGTGTTTATGCGGTTTAAAGTAAAAAAAACACATTATTTTCCACATACTGTACATTTTTGTTTCTCCTCTATGCCCCGCCTTTTTGAAACGCGTCGATTTTTATAAAGCTCATCGTTCTGAAAAGCGAGGTGTGCTGTGATTGGCCAGCTATCCAGTGCGTTGTGGTTGGCCGAATACCTCAAGCGTGAGACGGAAATGTTACGCCCCTCACCATACTGTTGATGCCGTGTCCGGCCGGAGCGACGAGACAAAAACATTAAAACCCATTACAAACGAGGCATTTGTTGCATCCAGTGGGGACATAATTACTGATTATAATGACTTATACTGTCTTTTTACACGTTGCGTTGCATCGCACCGTGTAAACATAAAACTCTGTCTGCATTCTCTCGTGCACGCTCGCTCTCTCTCGGACGCACTCGGTCTCTCTCGCGCACTGTCTGTCCCTCTCGCGCACATTTTCGGTCTCTCTCGCGCATCTCGCTCTCTCTCGGACACACTCGGCCTCTCTCGCGAACTGTCGCTCTCTC